GTGGGGAAGGGATGGAGAGGGGGTGGGGGAGTGGGAAGGGCGGCGCCGGAAATCGGGGGGCCGAGCGCGACCCTAACCGAGCGCAGCCGGGTCTCCGCCGCGGAGAGTGATCTGCCTTTTGCCCAATTTCTCTCGGACCCTTCGTGGTCCGCAGGCCGGCTGGTCTCGGCGGGGACTGGAAGGCAGCTAGCAGGAAAGCCCGTGTAAGGCGACCGATCGCAGGAGAATCCCAATCACCAAACAGCCAGCCTTCAGCCCCTCCCGGCCCGACCGCAGCGGCGCCGCGTAGGGGAGTCGGGGGCGAAGGGCCCCTTCCCACCCGGGCGTCCAGGTGCGTCGGCGGCTGTGGGTTTGGAAAGACCCCGGGAACCCCATTCGGATCCCTGGTCCCCACAGCCGGTCAGGGTGCCGGAACCCCTTCCTTAGAAATGATGCCTCTGGTTGAAAACACCTCTCCGCTCAGCTTGTAAGTTACACGAACAATGTTGAAACTCTTTTCAACCTCTGCACTCTGCCCGTAGGTTAGAATGACGAGAATAGATTTTAAAGGAAAAAACAAGACAAAACAAAAACCCAATACCCAAGCCTAAATTCACGACTCTTTCCTTAAAAAAATAAAAAAGGGACTCCTCCCCTCCCTCCCGCATAATTTATATCATTTTAGTCGTGGTGACCAGGCAGTTTGTATTCCGCCTTTTCTACTTGAGGTCTGACCTAAATATTTGCCATGTGTTATGGTCCTTATAAGCATACTTGTCAATGGCTGAGTACTAGTCTATTATGTCACTGTGTAATTTTCTTAACCGTTCAATTGTTAGATATCCCCACCTGTCTAGTTTTTAAGCATGAAATCAATACTTAAAACAAAATGGTCAGATATATACCTCTTTAGGGGAGGATTATTTCTTCAGGGTCCCGAGTCAACAAGATAGGGCCATTTTCATTGCACTTAATATGTGTACTGTCGAACTGCTTTCCAAAGCAGTTTGTACAGGCGTTTATTTTGGGGCCATTATGTGCTGGGTACAGTCTTGCCCTCAGGCCTCAAAGCTTCCTCCCCCATCTACCTCCCCACCTCCC